TGAGGACGAGGGCGATTCTTTTTTGTTTGTTATTGCGGGGACGGGGTGTGAGGGATGAGTTGCGGGAAATGTGGGAGACACGGTTGAGGGCGTTCTCGACCACTGAGTGGGGGGGAATGTTGCAGTCCTTGAAAAACGAGGACATCTGAGACGTACGGGAGTGGAATGCCTCATCCTGGGAGCAGATGCGGCGGAGGCGAAGGAATTGGGAATAGGGGATGGCATTTTTGCAGGAAGGTGGGTGAGAGGAGGTGTATTCTAGGTAGCTGTGGGAGTCGGTGGGCTTGAAATGGATATCGGTTTCTAGGTGGTTGCCTGAGATGGAGACAGAGAGGTCCAGGAAGGGGAGAGAGGTATTAGAGATGGTCCAGGTGAACTTAAGGTTGGGGTGGAAGGTGTTAGTGAAGTGGATGAACTGTTCGAGCTCCTCGTGAGAGCACGAGGCGGCGCCGATACAGTTATCAATGTAACAGAGGAAGAGGTGGGATTTAGGGCCAGTGTAGGTACGGAAGATGGATTGTTCCACATAACCTACAAGGAGGCAGGCATAGCTTGGCCCCATGCAGGTACCCATGGCCACCCCCTTTGTCAGAACCCCCTTCCCCTCCCCCATTTCTGATGAAGGGTCTAGGCCCGAAACGTCGGCCTTTATGCTCCTATGATGCTGCTTGGCCTGCTGTGTTCATCCAGCTCTGCACCTTGTTGTCTCTGCACTTTTTAACTAGTGTGATTTTGCTGAGGTCTGGGGCTCAAAGTGAATAATTTGGCCTGTATTCCTGACAGTGCCGGTTTAATATTGTGATTGAAAGGATCTTACACTTAACTAATTAAATGTGAGATTTAGAAGAGATTAAAGAGCAGGTGGAAATGATCAACAAGTGAAAAAAGACTAGTGTTTTAAATGGTGAGCATTCTCTTTGATTTTTTTTATCCTTCAGCTGTCTAATGGTTTTTTCATGCTCTAGTGATTGTGGCCAAGAAGTGTGGTAGGTAGGTAGGTTTCTATCAATGCAATATACATTGATAGGCGATGGACTAGTGGTATTAGCACTGAACTGTTAATCCAGAGACCTAGGTATGTTCTGGAGACTTGACTTTGAATCCTGCCACAGCAGATGATGGAATTTAAGTTCAATAAAAATTGGAATTAATCATCTAATCGACTGTTGGAAAAGCCCATCTGGCTCACTAATGTCCTATAGGGCAGGAAACTGCCATCCTTACCTAGTGTGGCCTACACAAGCCACACAGCAATGTGGTTGACTTTTAACTACTCTCTGAGCAATTAGGGATGGGCAATAAATGCTCACCTAGCCAGCAACCCCCTCATCCTGTGAATAAATAAAATAAACATTAAACCCGTCATCACAAGCTGCATTGCAGTGTTATGAGGTGATTTCAACCTTCTTTCTTATAGGAAGCAATTTTCTGCCACTGTGTTCCTATGGCAACCTAGTTGAAGGCAGAAACGCTTCATATCTGTAATTATGAGCACCTAACCAACTGCTGTTATTCTAGGCCACAGTGTGTTAGTCATTGAACTTGATGTACTAAATCTTACTGCATAGAAGTTTCCAAAGCTGCATCTGACCAGAGCTAAAAGTCAAGGAAAGAAAAACCTAAATTCATGGATAAATAGTATTAACCTGCAGTTTTCAGGTGACAGTCTTGATAAAAGACTGCCCAATTCCTTCCTTTTGCTTTTTTCTCTTTGTGGTTGAAAACGGCCCCAAGGTTGAGTATTTAATTTTCTTGGTAGTCATCAATGTTATTTTACTATTGAGCAGATTATTATGATAGTGTAGTGTTCACCTCTTATTTAGCTGTGTTCAACTGCTATGATAGTTGAAAATTGTTTCTAAAGAAAGCAGCATTGGGTCTGATGGCAGTGACATCTCAGGACTCTAGGTGGTGTCATAAGCAAATATATTTGGTTCAGCAAGATTTAATTAGCAGTCAGTATGCCCTAAGGAAAAAAAAATGGTTTTATTTAACACATTCAGTACAGTTATTGTAAATGAAAACGGATTTTTGAGCTGAAATTACGCTCCACTGTCATTATTGAAGTGAATACAAGATTGGAATTAGACTGTGTGGGGGGAAAAAAATCTTGTATTGCCCCACCAGAATACAGCTCTTGCACATGCCTACTTATGAGATTTCACTTGCAGCTATTTCTGTGTGGGCAGATAGGTGGCAGATTCAGTTCAATGTTTGAAAAAAAATGATGCAATACTTTTTGGAAGTAAGTATAAGATAAATAAATGCACTTGAAATGGTCAGATATTAATTGGTGTCGAATCCAGAAGGACTTTGATGCACACATTTAGTGACAGCATTGCAGATAGCCTAACTATAATCTTCCAAAAATGCTCCCAATTCATAAAATTTCCTTTTACATTGGAAAATTTCACATCCCCTGCACCATTTTAAGATACGTGAGAAAAAATATACAATTATAGGTAAGTTGCCTTACATAGTTGGGAAATTAATAGCTAGTCTATAGTTAAGCATCTGTAGTTAGACTGATCAGAGATCAAGTTTGGATTTTTGAAAGGTAAATCATGTTTGATGAAATGTTAGAATTTTTGAAACAATAACAAGTAATGGACAGACCGTAAGAGATAGGAGCAGAATTACTCCACTCAGCCGATCGAGTCTGCTCTGTCATTCAGTCATGGCTAAACTTTCTCAACTTTATTCTCTTGCCTTTTCCCCATAACCCTTCTTTCTCCCTTACTAATCAATAACCTATTTATCTCTGTCTTGAAACATTCAATGATTTGGCCTCCATAGCAATGAGGGATAAAAAAATTATTTTATGAATGCATCATTGAAATGTCACAATCTGCAGCAATGAGTTCCACAGATTAACCACCTTCTGACTGAAGAAATTCCTCCTCATCTCAGTCCCAAAGAATCATCCTTTCACTTTGAGGTTGTAACCTCGGGTCCTCGTCTCTCCTATTAGTGGAAACCTCTTCTCCATATCCACTCTGTCCAGGCTTCTCAGTATTCTGTAAGTTTCAGTGAGATCTCCCTCATCCTTCTGAACTCCATAGAGTACACACCCAGAGATCTCGACCACTTCTCACATAACAAGCCCTTCATCCCGAGGATCATTCTTGTAAACCTCGTCTGGATCCCCTCTAATGCCAGCGTGTCCTTCCTTAAGATACAGGGCCCAAAACTGGTTACGGGGGAATCTCTCTGGATGTTATTTATGTCAATTTCCAAAAAGCTCATCAGAAGTCCCTCGTAAGATTTTGCTAGATTTCATTGAAGCTCATGGAATTGAAGGTAAACTGTTGACCAGGTTAGAAAATTGGTTGAACAGAAAGGACAGCGAGTAGTGATTTTGGGCATGTACTCTAATTGTCAAGAAGTGACTAATCGTGTATCCCATGGATCTGTCCTGGGGCCTCAACTGTTCACAGTAATTATTGCTAAGTTAAGTGATGAAATAGAAAGCTACAAATCCAAATTTGCGAATGTGACAACCATTGGTTGGATTTTAAGGAAGCATAAAATTGCAAAGAGACATAAAATAATTTTTGTATGAATACATTGCTGAAATGTCACAAACAGGTACAGAAAATAATCAGAAGACCTAGGGAACCCTAGTACTTTTCCCTAGAGGACTGATTGCAGTGGGCAGAAGTCATACTTGAGCTATTTAAAGCCCTAGTAAGGCCATACTTGGAGTCCTGTAAATGGTTTGTAGAAATAATATATTGGCCTTGAAGGGACTAGGCTTACTTGAATGATTTCTGGTCATTAATGATTATTCCACAAAGAGAAATTAGACAAAAGATGATGGCATTCGCTGGAATTCAGAATAAGAAATTTGATCAAAACTTTTAGCATATTAAGAGGAACAGATGGTCTAGATAGAGTTAAACTACTTTTGCTGTTTGGGAAGAAATGACGCATGGATTGAGTTCTCATTTTTAGATTTTCAAAGTGAAAAAAAGAAACACTTCTCCACAAATGTTGATAGAAATTTGAAGCTCTCTTCTGCAAGCGGTAATTGATGTTTCGTCAATTGTTATTTGTATAACTGAGTGATAGATTTTTGTTCTGTAAATGTTGTTAAGAAATATGGGGCCAAGACAGGTGCAGGTCTTGAAGATTAACCATGACCTCAATGAATTACAGAACAGGCACGGGTGGCTACTTCTCCTGTTCCTACGCACAAAGGATATTTCCAAAATCCTTAGCTTTACATCTGAAGAAAAGGAATACAAAAGCAAAGAAGTGCTTTCGAATTTGTTCAATGCCATGATTAGGCATAGCATATTGTGTATCATTTCAGACATCTTATGATAGAAGGATAGAAAAGCAGCAAAATTGACAATTGTAAGTTTATTAGGATATAATCAGTGGTGAGGGGTTGTAGTTTTGAAGAGGGAATGGAAACTTACAGGTTTACAAATAATGTTAAGGTTATAAAGAGTTGTGACAAATTAATTGGAATCATAAAATGTTTAAACCCCAGTAGGAATCTATTCAGCCCATAATATCCATCTTACTGCCCTGCCTTTTCCCTGGAAATATCTTGTCTTCAGATAATTGTCTAGATGTCTTCTGAAAAACACAATGAGTTGTCCTGTACCGCACTCTCAGGCATTCCAGACCCCAACCACTCACTGTAAAAACAAATTTAATCTCTGGTTGCATCTGGTCATTATATCTGAAATATTCTGTTTCTGTGGTATATTGTTTCTACTTCCAATGGTCAACAAGATAATAATGAACAGTTTAAAAAAAATTAAGGTTAAATAATCATGTACCGTAGCTCTTTAAAAGCAAGACTATTGAAGTATGTGAGGAGCAAGGGAAAAGGGGGAATTAGATTATCAGGCTCATGTGGAGAAAAGCAGCAGCTCTGGACCCGCTAATCCCTTCTATTTAGATCATTGGCTGTGGACCCTACAGCTGCGGCAACTAACTATACTTTATAAACCTGTGATCAATGTAACATTTCCCCCTTCTTTTAGATCCGTGGCTTTTTGTCAAGATTTGACAATGTCCTTCCAGCAAGTTTAGCATTTGACAAGTGCACAGCATGTTCACCAGTGGTAAGTTTCTTCACAATCAGACTTTCAAAGAAATGGTTTCAAAGCAACACAAACTGAGTTTAAAGTGTTTATTTTCTGCAAAGCCCCTTTTTCAATTGTGTAACAAATAAATGCTTCTAATTTTGAAACCAACTCATTGTGTGTTTTAATAGTATCTTTTAATGCTGTCATAAATTTGTTTGTTATAGGTTGCAGGAGGACAGGGCTTTCACAGTTTTTTGTTAGAAGTATTTTTTATTATTGTTTGTTTTTCTTCCCTATTTCTCAGACGCTCCCAAAGCATCGAATTCAAGCTGAGTGAATGGGAGACTTTCTCCCAGGTCACCCTGTAGCCGCCACCAAAGTGTTCTGCTGGTGTACCACTTATCTCAAGCTGTTACTAGTACCACACTAAAATATTAGTTGTGTTTTATTTTTATAGGCGACGGTCCAGAGAATAATGTGTTTTTTTTTCCTTTACCATGGGACCCTGTTGTAAATTGGCCATTTGCACTACGTCAGCCTGCTCAAATGATTATTGCTTTATGCAATTGTAAACATTTTTACTTACTGTCGAGAAATATTTTCAAATAGATTTTTTTATTGGGAAAATGGAGTATATTCACACCCTAGGTCAAAACATATTTCAAATGTTATGTTCTATTGTGTATTTCAGTAAAACAATATTTTTATTCAGTAAGTTTCCTCTAAGTGTTTGTATTATGTTCAGTAAGCCCCCTCTATCAGCGCTTGTGAACTCTCCAATGATATCATGGGCTCAAGCTTCCCTTCTCGGGTGGCACAGTGGCTCACTGATTAGCATTGCTACCTCACAGCATCAGGGATCCAGGTTCTAGTCCAGCCTCGGGCAACTGTCTGTGTGGAGTTTGCACCTTCTCCCCGTGTCTGCATGAGTTTCCTCCGACAGTCCAAAGATGTACAGGTTACGTGGACTGGCCATGCTAAATTGCCCATAGCGTCCAGGGATGTGCAGGCTAAGTGGACTAGCCATGGAAAATGCAGGGTTTACAGGGATAGGAGAGGGAGGTGGGTTTGGGTAGGATGCTCTTCAGAGGATCAGTAAGGACTCTGTGGGCCGAATGGCCTGCTTCCACACTGTAGGGATTCTATGATTCTCTTCCCATTGTTTTCCCTTGATGTGGAAAAGGTACTCAATATTTCACTCTGCTCTTGCCTTAGTATCTGCCAGTCCTGCTGGTGCCTTCAGCAATCTATTATGCTCAATAATTATCATTGGTGAGTGTGGGACCCTGATCTGCTCCTCTTCAACAGAGGATGGGTATTAGCCAGCCTCTGTCTTAGCAAAATAGGTGGTTTACTGAATTGACAATGTCTTGCTTCTCCCAAAATTGCTAACTGTAAACCTGTGTAACGGGGATTACAGAGCTAGCATTTGGTTGGTTAAGAATGAGTCATAGCACATCTTTATGTGAACTTTCCATGTCCAACTCTCTGAACCTCCACTCTGAACCATTTGACAAACCCGGAGATTGATCAATGGGACAAGGATTGAAAGGAATTTTGGTGACAATGGCATGTGGAATCCAATTTCTTGCAATGGTGGAGGAAATTGATGCCCACTTATATGATCATGGCAATTAAAACAGCAAATGAAGGAATGGGTTGTGAAAACCAAGTTAGGAAAAAATAGTGAGATATCCTCGGCTCATTCCAGCCACCCCCAGCTTCTCTACCTTCTGCTTCCTCCCATATTGCACGCACTAGGGGCCGTTTAGACTACCTAAAAGGGATGAAATCCTGCAGATTCTAGCCCTCTCCAAGCCATTGTTCTCTTGCAGGACAAATGTCAGATTTAAATGAAGGGCATTGATACTGTGGGACCAACCTTGTCAGAAAACCAAAGCATTTGGTTGTTCTTGACTACTTGAGAACTGTTTTAAGCAAACTCCTGAGAGTGGTTCTCTCCCCTTATACTAAAAAAGAAAACTGTTGACCTTTTGAGACCTTGAGCCGAGTGTAATTTCCTACGAGGTGGATGAGCTACCAATTCCAGGCATTAGCACATACTGATTGAATTGCAGGTATGTGTAATGAAGCTGAACCCAGAAATTTATTGTTGTTGAGGGTGACTACTATTAATGTTGCATCCAGCTGCTACCAATTCAAACCCAACGTACAGATCCCCACATCTGTGTCTAAACAAGGATCCATGCTGTATTAAATGGAGCATTTAGCAGCTCAGCCAACGGGGTACTCCAATTGAAGTTTATCCAAATGTAGACTTTAGCAAATGTGATTAGATTTATAAGTTTTAGCTGAGACACACAAGTATATGGTAATAATTATAATTAACATTGGTGTGCTGTACAGGTTGTAAAAATTCCAGAAACCAAGACCACATAAGCTTTGAGGGGATAAAATTGTTTGGGTAAATGTTAGACTGAGGAACAATGCTTAAGCCTTGAATTTGTTAAATCCACATAATCCATGACCGATGCAATTTTAAATGTGTGTTTGTCCAAAGTATAACTCTAACGCCATTGACTTTGGACGACGGGATGCTCCCAGCTGAATATAACACAAACTCACCTGATCAATCAAGTCGAACAAGGTTCTGTGAAAATGAATCTGTTTCATAATCCATTGCTGAACTTTGTCTCCTATAGCTTAGTCATAGGAGACAAGGTAACAGAGGAAGGATGCTTTTCAGAGTGGAGGCCTGTAACTAGTGGTGTTCCACAGGGATCAGTGCTAGGACCACTGCTCTTCGTGATCTGCATAAATGATTTGGAGGAAAACCTAGTTGGTCTAATTAGTAAGTCTGCAAACGACACAAATATTGGTGGCATTGCAGATAGTGAGGAGGATTATCAGAGGATTCAGTAGGATATAGATCAATTGGAGGCATGGGCAGAAAAATGGTAGACGGAGTTTAATCCGGACAAATGTGGGATGATGCGTTTTGGAAGGTCAAGTACAGGTGGAAATTATACAGTGAATGGCAGAACCCTTAGGAGTATTGATATGCAGAGAGATCTGGGTGTGCGGGTCCACAGATCACTGAAGGTAGTCAAAAAAAGGCCTATGGCATGCTCGCCTTCACTGGAAGGAACATTGAGTTTAAGGATTGACAAGCTGTGCTGCAGCTTTATAGAACTTTAATCAGGCCACACTTGGAATATTGCATACAGTTCTGGTCACCACACTACCTGAACGATGTGGATGCTTTGGAGAGGGTACGAAAAAAGTTTACCAGGATGTTGCCTGGTATGAGGGATTCTAGCTATGAAGAAAAGTTGGATAGACTGGGTTTGTTTTCACTGGAACACAGGAGTTTGAGGGATGACCTAATAGATGTTTATAAGATTGTGAATGGCATGGATAGAGTGGAAAGTATGAGGCTTTTTACCCAGGTTGGAGGGATCGATTGCTGGGTGACACAGGTTCAAGGTGCAAGGGGAGAAGTTTAAAAGAGATGTGCGAGGCAAGTTTTTCACACAATGGTTGGTGAGTGCCTGGTACTTGTTGCCAGAGGAAGTAGGGAGAGCAGGCACAATAGCAGCATTCAAGAAGCAGCTGGATGAATACATGCATAGGAAGGGAATAGAGAGATATGGATCCTGTAAGTGAAGACAGTCCTTGGTATGGACGGGCAAAATGTGTCGGCGCAGGCTTGGAGGGCCAAAAGGCCTGTTCCTGTGCTCTATTGTTCTTTGTTCATCCACCTCCTAAATGGTTCAAGCAAATAAAATGGCCATATCTATGTCTCTAATCCTACATTCCTCTGATTAGTGCCCTGTCAGCATCCGAATTTTAACTCATTTTGGTGACTGCTTTGCCCTGAGCTCTGGGATTCCCTCCTTAGTCTTCTCTCTGCCTGTTTATCTTGCTTGCTTTCTTCAAAATGCTCCTTAAAAACCCATCTCTTTGACCATAGTTTTGGCTATCTGATCTTGTGGCTATCCTTATTTGCATCATGTTATATAAGGTCATGGTTCTGAAGGGGTCAGTGTTCAATGTTACATTGGCTGTACCCATTCTACAGATACTTCTCACAATCTGTGAATGGAGACAAGATGTTCTACTCTAACTTTTGGAAGGTGCGGGCATATCTGTGCCCACTCCTGAAGGTCCAAGTAGTTATGCTTGATCAAATGTCACTGTACTTACGGCTATCGATAAACATTCTCGTTATCTAAACATTGTGCTCTTTCTGTCTTACTCTACAGTGGTATTTCTCTATCACTGATCGCTAGATTGTGCCAAGTCAGAAAAAAATAAAGGAAGATTGGTAGTAATTCTTACCCAGTACCAAATACTAGTAGAGGTGGCAAATACCACACGTACCAGGTGCGGTCACCTGTGAAAATACCATAGTCAGTGTTACATTCTATCTCATAATGGCTCTGGGAAGTGCCTTGCCATGTTTTATTGCATTCACTATGCTAAGTAAATATAAGTTGTTAAAAATGTATTTGCATAAGAACTGCCAGCTTTGATCGTTTGTACATAAATAATAAGCTATCCTTTAATTTTTTTTGTAATTTAGAAGATTGAGAAATTTACCAATAAAAATATTTGTTGTACCTATCAGTGGGATGTTGCCACTTGTGCTGTGGGGGTTGACTGCAGGTTTGATGAGGCTTGAGCACTTGCCAGCATTTAGACTGACAGCACTCGCTTACAAAGAAATGGCAATTGGGCTATTATGCTGGAAGGTTGCTGGTGGCCTTGGAATGTTAACCGAGCATGATTCACCAACTTGAGAGTGTGCTGTGGAAGAAAGTGAACTGAGAAAACAGGCCCTCCATAACCGGGCATTTTTTTTGTTGCATTAAAAGTATTTTGGGTACATTATTTTACCAAGGTCACTGTTAGATGATGTGTAACTTGAGCATGCACGATTAGTAATTCTGGATCGCAGGTGTTAACCTAAGTGAGGGAAATATCTTCATTCTCAGGTTGCCAGCCTCATGTGAAAGGTTACGAGTTGAAGGCTCACTCCAAAGTACATAATTGCTACTGACACTCTAGAACAG